AAATCTAAAAATCAACATACAAAGCCTAAAAAGTTTTTTGATCAATCATTTCTTACGCTTGTGTAAAACTTAATGTAATTATTTGTTAATTTACGACATTTTTACCATCTGAGGCTGTTTGGTAACTATTTCGTTTTCAGTTTCAATTTATATTTACAAAAATTTTAAAAACTGTCTTTAAAACTGTTTGAAATGTTTTTTTGGTTTATAAATTGTGTCTCAGTTTGTTAAATTGAAGAAAAAACGTAAATTCAAAAAATGAGTTTACGTTGGTTTTAAAAAAATTTAAAATTTACTAACAATTTTTTTTCAATTAATTTTTTTTTCAATTAATTTTTTTTTTCATGATATTTTTTTTTTCCAACTAATACTAACCGAGAGGACAGTTGGAAATTCTACTGTTAAATCTTATGGAGGATTGTATTCTGAAAAAGTGAGGAGTGTCCAATTGTAATTCCCAGTGAAAGGGTAAAAGTGAATATTTTAAAAAAAATTAATTGCTAAAGAAAAATCTGTATATGAAAGCTTTAAACCTTAGGAAGGAAGATGCAATGTTTCAAAAGAATGAGAGGAACGATATAACATTATAAATCTCAGAGGTGTATCAGCGCAATTTTCCTATTTTCATTTTTACGATTTTTCGCTTTGCGTATGTTTACACCTCTGTTGATATTATAAAGAAAGATAAAAAAAAAATATATACCAATTTGTTTGTATATATGCATTAGAATAAATTGTATATATTCAGTTAACCACCCAACAACATGGCATATTTAAAGTTATTTGTTAATTGAAAAACTGTTTTGGGATAGTGACAGAATTGAATAAAAGGGTTGGTTTAAAAAGAAGTGGTATAAAGAAGAGAAAACCGGCTGTGTAGTATTGCCCCAATGTTCTGGCCTTTCAATAAGATGGAAACTTTATCAAAGGTTAAACTCAGAAGTTGCTTTTTTAGTATACGATTAAGAATTACATGAAGTTTAGATTTAACATAGAATGGACAAAAGAGAATATGAGACAAAAATTTGTGCGTATTTTTTTTCTTCTCTTTAAAGGGGGATGGTTTGGTACTGAATGCCCGGTAGAAGGTAATTTGATCAAATGAATGTTTAAGTTACGGTTTTTGAATCAATTAAAATTTAATATATTTGTTTTATTAATTTAATATATGCAAGTAAATTTTATCCTAAAAAATCAAAAGTAACGAAGTTCACCTAGATTTTTACTTTTGAAATTGAACAAGTCCACTAACTCGGTAATACAATTGTTGAGGTTTGTTTATTATTATTAACTATATATTAATGTTATATTGGTATATATATAAATTAAAATTAATAGAATAAACTAACATATGAGAATGTCAAATATCGAAGTTCTCCTAATTCAATGTCTTTTTTCTTTTTTTCTTGGTTGCTGCGAATGTCTCGTTGGTCCATCTATTTTTTTTTAATTTCGAGGCCTCTAGGTATAGACAAGAGCTTGAAATTCATTACGATTCTTATTTTCTTTCGAGAATCATAAAAATCAATTCTATCATATTATACTGAGATCAAACCCGATCCCATTAACACCGTTTACATAAGAGAAGGAAGAGGACAAAAGAAATCACAGCTCACTTGGCATTGTGGAAACTTTGTGTTAATGAAAAAACAGTGTGAAATCTTTGTATAAAGGCCATTGATGGCAAACATGCTACACTACACCATGTAACTTAATAGCAGGTTCCAACAAAAGTTTCAGGGCAATATCATTATCACAAAATATTATAAAACATATAATCACCAAAATATAAATCAGGACATTGCCTACTAGTTTGTATAGCACCTGTTTGTGTGATGAAATCTCAAATATGTAATTTATACGGAGAGAAGTTTTGATATCTTTGGTGATAGTTATTCTTTTTCCCTCATTATGGTTGTTGGGCTTAGCCTTGATGGGCCTTTGGATAGGCTTGGTTGAATTGGTTATTAAATAAATTTATTTCGTCTGATTCGTTAAGGTGTGTTTGGGTGGTTAACTTTGCACTGCAAATTGAAGGCCTTAGAGGCTTCAGAAACCAAAATGGAGTACATAATTATAATTAACATGATTTTTATGATTTAATATGAAGTTTAGTAAAAATGTGATTTAGAATGAATTAAATTGGTTTTTATTAAATATTATATATATATATATATTTATGTATATGATGAAAAATACCAATAATAAAATTCTGACTCTGCCCTGCATATATATTTATATTTCTTTGTGCTCTCTCTCTATCTATGTATCTACATGTATGTATATATGGGCTGGGGGTTTAGGGGGTTTACTTTGTGACGCTTGTGCAATTCTTGAAAGAAAAAAAATTGGGGTAAAAACCATGGAGATTCAGTCAATTTATATAAGATTGTTTTCTAAGTACTTAATTTTTTAGTTCAAGAGTTAAAATAAAATAAAAGGCAAAGAATTTGGGTGAGGCACTGTAAGGAACAATGGAAGAAGCAAAAACGAGGGCGTTTGGATTGGAAGACTGCCATCACTAATTTGGTATTCACTCCTAATTACATGAAATAGATCATATGTGAAGGAGTATACGCCCACACTCCTCCCTCTATCTCTCTATTCTCTCTTCCATGTCATTAGGCTATATTAGATGCTACATTGGTGGGATGTTGCATGGTTGAAAAAAAAAAAAAAATTATAATTCAGCCTAATCTTTTAAATTTTTTTTTAAATAAGTGATAAACTTTATAAATATTAATAATTAAAATTATAAACTATTCCATCAATATGTAATTATTTTATAGAATAGCCACTGACATGTAATTTTTCCCTTAAAAAAATTCCTCTAGAAACAAATATAGTAAATATTATTATTTACTGTGAAGTGTTTTTTGTGTTCTTTTATTATTTATTATTTTATTTTTGGATTTTCAGCAAAAAATGGCAGGTTGGATAGAGGTTGGGACGCTCTATTCAAATGGATGCGGGGTCACTACTCACGACCGTCCTCCCTGCCGTGCTTTAAACGGCACTGTTTTAGAATTTTTCTCTTTTCCCTTCAACTTTGTTCTCTTGATTATGTTTTGCGGAGCCGGTGCTATTTAGGATAATGTTTTTTTTTTTTTTTTGTTCATTCGGTTATGCTACAATGTTGTTTGGTTGTTTTTTATTTTTTCAAAGTTATTTCTTTGATATATATTGTTTGCATTTAAAAATGTAAAATTGTTATTTTAATTGATCTGTTTAATTATTTTTATATAATCTTATTCAACTGATTAAAAATATGTAAAATAAAATTTCTGACTCAATACGATATTTTTTGTTCCCAATTGAAAAAATGTAATCTTTCTATTTATTATGTTGTTGTCAATCTACTAAATCAAAATAAAAAGGGTACAACACTCCTTAACTTTGATATAAATACACAGACAACTCCAAACATTTTCAATATATCACAGATATTCTCTGGCGTTCGAAAGTTATATTACAAGCACTCCTTAACATTTAGTTAATTCAGAAACACCCTCATCATTGATTGTGTGGTGAATAAAAGCTTTTGAAACCAGAGGATATGAGATATTTAGACGGATGATTCCTTTGAATGGATTGTACTTGGGCTTTGCTCATGATGTTTATCCTGTCAATCTCAAATTGATAGATGCATAATATTATATGGAATAATACCTCTAAAATATCACTGTCCAGAAAAGAAAACGAATAATGTTTGAGATTCCTTTTTTGAGATTTTATGACCTTCAATTTGATCTTGGTTCTTGATGTGTATGTGAGGTTCACTCATGCATGTATAAACTCCACATTATGAGTGATTGGAATGAGAGTGGAAATTGTGGGAGTCATGTATGTGTGGAGGTCTCTATCACAATTGAAAGAAAACAATCACACAAATGATGATGTGGAAAATAAAATGTAAAATGCACTTGGCTATGGGTTAAAAAATTCAAAAATAAATAAATACAAAACTAAAAGAGCAATGCTACATTTCCAAACATTTGAGGTTTAAATATCATTCAGCTTGCTTGTTTTCATTTTTCAGAAAACACTTTTTAGAAAATTCTACTTTCTTATTTTCTGTATTTTTTTGTTTTTACTGAATTTTTTTAATATTTTAAGCAATTTTTTTACTTTTTAGACAAACCTAACATAAATACACCTAAAAAGTAAAAAAATTGTAAAAAAAATCTTTTAAAAATTCACTAAATACCAAAAATACAAAAAAAATACAAGAATTCAGTACATTTTTTGTGTTTTTATGTATTTATTAATTTTTTAAAATATTTTTTCACATTTTTTTTACTTTTTAGATACATCTAACTAAGATGCATCTAAAAAAATAAAAAAAATGTTTAAAATTTAAAAAATATTCACTAAAAACAAAGAATACGAAAACTAAAAAACTCAATTTTCAAAATAGCAAAAAAAATAACAAAAAAAATAGCAAGACTGTTAGTATTTTTAGTAAGACTGTTAGTATTTATAGAATTATTCAAACTAAATAGTAAAAAAATTTACCCAAAAAAATCAATTATACACCCAAGTCATTCACATTTTTCCATTAAATTTTGAAAATCATTCCTAAACACAAGTTTTTTTCACCTCATAAAAAACTAAAAAGCCAATAAAAAAAAATAAAACCCCAAATGAGGCCTATATATGAAAAAAGTGACTTCAGTTGTGCTCTTTCCAAGAAATAATTTTTTTTGTTGCTTCATACCCAATGTTGTTCTTATCCTATGTTTGGATTTTGAATTTTTGAAAGAAAAAAAATTAAGGGAAAAATGAAATATCATATTGTTTCTCATGAAGGTAATTAAATTTACTAGCAGTAGGTGAGTGTGGTTGGTTGGAATGAGATTCTGAGTACAAATCACTTATCCTCTTTCGTTTTTCCAACTATTGCTATTTATTGATGCAATTTGATTCATTTACAAAAGAATGAGAAAAATATATTATTATTATTATTACTTTTTTTTATTATTTGGAATTTCTTTTGTATATCAACTCAACAGGTTCAGAAGAATGAAGCGAGCTTGAATACTTCCACCATAAGTGCACCTCAAATTGCTCCTTCCACAAATGAGTCTCACACTATTCCCCCGAAGGTGGAACCGAAACGAAAGCCTAGCAATTTAAATAAACTAGAAGCCAGTCTCGGACGAGTTCGTGCTGCAATAAGAGAAGCGAGAAATAATGGAAATCAAACACACGATCCTGAGTATGTTCCCGGAGGTCCAATGTATTGGAATGCCAACGCCTTTCACAGGTACCCTTTTTTAAACATTTTTATTTTTATTGTCACGTTATTCTCCATGTTTTTTTCCAGGAAACATGTAATCCTCTACTTTTGTTATGGCTTTGGACACTGAAAGAGAAAAATTTTCTGTTGTAATCTGAGTAATTTTATGGAATGGGACCCATTGGAGTGAGTCAGTCCAATAAAAGGATTCAATTAATCATACACCTCATGTGGATCATTTTTCAAGTTAATATGAAGCAATAATTTAAAGTTTGAAAGCATCCATCATTTTCATTTTGTGAAAGCATTTTTCAAAATTAATTTGTGTTTCCTATAAAAGGGGTGTTTTCGTAAAATTTTCTCAAAAATAGTTTTGGAAAAAAATTTCCAAGTGTTTTCAAGAACCAAATAAAAGAAAACGAAAATGATGCTTTTACACCTTTAGTAGTACGCAATGGAAAGTTAATGCAACAACTACAAATTCCCAAGTTTTGAATATATACTTGGAACTCTGAATCTCATCACCATTACTATTTCTTTGCTACTCAAGGAGCTACTTGGAAATGGAAAAACAATTCAAAGTATTTGTCTATGAAGAAGGAGAGCCCCCAATTTTTCATAACGGTCCATGCAAGAGCATATACGCGATGGAGGGAAATTTTATTTACCGCATGGAGGTTAGCAAGTTCTGCACAAGAGATCCTGACAAAGCCCATGTCTTTTTTCTACCATTCAGTGTGACATCTATGGTTCGCTTCATTTATGTGCGTGAGTCCCATGATTGGGCTCTGATGAAACAAACAGTCAGCGATTATGTCAATCTCATTGCGCGGAAATACCACTATTGGAATCGAAGCCTTGGGGCCGATCATTTCATGCTTGCTTGTCATGATTGGGTAAGGAATTGTTGTTTTGCTTGTATTAGTCTCGCATTATGAAAATAATATGTTGTGTATGATTTCTCTATCAATAGTGTTACTTGCACATAATTAAAACACACAAAAATGCATAGAAAGTGTACAGTGTGGTTTAGATTTATTTTAAATATAATCCACATAGCACTCAATATGAATCTCAGTTACACATTATACTTTGTGTATTTTATGTGTCTGGATTTTGTGCAACTATCCATTCTCTCTATATACTGGTAAATTATATATAGTACCCAAGTAGGACAACAATCTGGCTTAGCCCAATGGCCTTGTGTTACTCATTAGGAGGTCATGCGTTCGACTTTCTATTTTCTCTAATGTACCCAAAAAAAATATCCGAATGACTCAAACAATGTATTAATTTTTGGCAATGTTGTGTTGCAGGGGCCAGAGCTTTCCTCTTCCGTTCCTTACCTATACAAAAATTCCATTCGGGCTCTATGCAATGCAAACACCTCGGAAGGATTCAATCCCTCGAAAGATGTATCATTTCCAGAAATCCTTCTCCCGGATGGCACGACAAATCGCTTACTTGGAGGTCCATCCCCTTCACGACGCCCAATCTTGGTTTTCTTCGCTGGAGGGGTCCACGGCCCAATTAGGCCAATTCTTCTCTATCATTGGGAAAACAAGGACGAAGATGTACAAGTTCACAAGTACCTTCCCAAGGGTGTTTCATATCATGGGATGATGCGAAAAAGCAAGTACTGCATTTGCGCGAGCGGTTATGAAGTAGCAAGCCCACGAATGGTTGAGGCACTCTACATGGGTTGTGTTCCGGTACTCATGAAGGACCATTACGTGGCACCATTTAGTGATGCTCTAAACTGGAAGTCGTTCTCGGTTGAGGTTTCGGTGAAGGACATTCCGAACCTAAAGACTATTTTAATGGGAATTTCTCAGAGGCAGTATATAAGGTTGCAGAGGAGAGGGCTGCAAGTAAGGAGGCACTTTGAGGTTAACTTGCCTGTAAAGCGGTTTGACGTGTTCCACATGATACTTCATTCGATCTGGCTTCGAAGACTGAATGTTCGCGTTCATGACTTCGAAGAATCATGAATATCATTTGATGAATTGAATTGAACTACCTGTTGCTTCGGATTCGTTGAGGAAGGGGCCAAGTAATAAGTTGTGTAGAGTAACTTGTTGATTTATATGAAATTTGTGCAATTGTATTTATTTTGCAGAAATTAGGCAAATAATGTATGATCTTCACTTTTTTGTTTTTTTGGTGGAAAGAGGACTAATTATTAGATAATGTTCAGTTAAGCAACAATATTATTTCCTTTAATCACTTTTATTTTTATTTTTTGTAGATGAAGTCATTGTGTGTGCTCTGGTCAATCCCATACTGATTTAGTTGGTAATGGTGTCATGTTTTGACCTAAAATTATTATCATCAACACAATTGTTTAGTGGTTGGAACAATGTGATGTTTGTGATGGTTTTTCTTGTTTCCACTGATTTTGCAGAAATTAGGCAAATAATGTATGATCTTCACTTTTTTTGTTTTTTTGGTGGAAAGAGGACTAATTATTAGATAATGTTCAGTTAAGCAACAATATTATTTCCTTTAATCACTTTCATTTTTATTTTTTTGTAGATGAAGTCATTGTGTGTGCTCTGGTCAATCCCATACTGATTTAGTTGGTAATGGTGTCATGTTTTGACCTAAAATTATTATCATCAACACAATTGTTTAGTGGTTGGAACAATGTGATGTTTGTGATGGTTTTTCTTGTTTCCACTGAGTGATTATTGACTACTGTCTCAAATCAGGAGTTCTCTCTTGATGTTCAATTTATTTTGTTTGTTGCACTTTGAACTGGCAACTTATGGCTTCATTTTTTTTTTGAATTTTGTATCCCACTTACAATTTATGCGGTAAAAGTTGCGGTAAAAATAACAAAATACATTAAGTGAGCATTGACTAAATATTGGTATCAAAGGATAAGTTTCTCTAGATGTTAGAGATTGGAATAATATTCTCATTACCATATCAAGACTCATGAAAATTTTCTCTATTTTTTTTGACTCGTCATAGTGCAAAAATTCATTTTGTTTTTACCATACCATTCCATGGCATATGTTGATTTAACACAATTCTTATATCAGTTTTTGGTCATATCATAGGATTTACACTTCAAAAGCAAAATTGACTTTACCAAACTTGAAGCTGAATTTGCCAAACCTTGTGTGTTTGGAGTTTCTATAACATGCTCAATTATAGTTTTGACAGTGTAATGACCACTGGAGTTGCCATGATTTTATAAGATGGAAAAGTTATACAAATTAATGATTTAATAATTATTATTTTTATTTATGAATGTGACATACAATAATAAAATTTGGTATTTGAAACATGATCTATAATAATAATTTGAAAGTATATTACATTAATTAATGAAAAAAATTATAAAATTTATTAATTTATGAAACATCACTAAGATTGTGGCCTTGGCTCACTAGGAAAATTCAAAAAATTCTCTGTACAAAAGGACTCAAATTTTCAAATGCCAAATAAGATGGGCCTCATCTTGATGTTTGGTTTAACACTTCAAAATCCCTGACACTTCATTTGGATTGTGAGGTGAGAAAAAAAAGAAAAAGAAAAAGTAAATGATTGTAATTTTTCACCCAGGTGAGAAGAAAAGAAAATGATAGTGATTTCTCATCTTTTTGTTTGGAAGAACATTGATTAAAAGATGATACATGTGTCTTTTTATTTTATTATTTTGTATCTAGAGGGGTAATTTGGTGAAAATGAGATTCAATCATTTCATTAAATTTGGATCAAATCAATTTTTTACTAAACATTTAATTAAACCAAGTATGCATCACAATTTTTGCCAACTTTTAACAATTATTTTTTCACTTAAGTTTAATAAATTGTTAAAAAATGAAAATTTGAAAAAGTTTTTTTTTTCCCTGGTAAAGTGGTTAAAAAAGATTTTTAGGATAGAACATTATTTTTTCCTCCAACTAAATTGGTTTAGACTTTTCTAATAAATTGACGGTGTTGATTGATAGTAGTGTGTGAAAATAAAAAGAGTACAAGAGTAAAAGGATTTTTTTTTTTAAATATAGTGATTTATACTTCTCATCAATATATTTTATTATTGATGTCAAAACAGATCAATCATTGGATTTAGAATTCATTTGGGAATTAATTTTTCAGGTAATTTTTTAATTTTTCACAAAAGAAAGAGTAAAAAAAATTTTAAAGAATAAATTGACTTTTAATTTTTGACTAATTTAACTAGTTTCCTAACAAGGCCTTAATATAATCAACAATGATTCATCCCCCTTTTCCCCCACTCCTTTTGACCCCCTCTCTCTCTCATTGGTTACTTTTTCTTTTTCTTTTTTTTTCCTGCTCCGCCAATCACCACCCGCCATGTGGCAAAGGGAGGTGAGGGGGTGACCCCCAAAAGGGGGTCCTAAGCATTATTCTAATATAATATTACTTATCATCAATAGGGATGGAGAGATGCTCTGAATAGCCCAAACAACCTGGAGGGTGATGCACACAATGTTTGGATAGCTAGGAGAGAAAAGAAAAGAAATTTGGAGGGTGATGTACACTACATTTGGATAGTTAGGAGAGAACAGAAAAGAAAAGAAAAGAAAAAGTTTAAGATTGATCTCTAACAACCACCAGAACTCAGTTCAAAAAAATAAATAACAACCACCAGAACCAAATGAACTTTCTGAACAAGCACACAGGTGTTTGTAGCTTCTTACAGGATCCCTCAACTCTGTTTGCGAATAACTTAAATAAGCAGCTTTTGTGCTAAAACAAAGCCGAAAGCAAAAAAGTCCCGTTTGGGATGACTTCTCCATAAAAAAGCAGATTTTTTTAGCAAATTTGTGAAAAATAAGATTTTTCCCTCAATACTTTTAGAAATTCCACCGTGTCCCTACAAGTGTTCCACAATACTAATATGGAAATTTCTAACCAAAAAGCAAGTTTGAAAAGACTCAAAAAAATGATTTTTTTAGCAATTATCAAATGCATAAGCTTTTTTAGATTCTTAAGAAAGCAAAAAAACTACTAAAAATGCAATAGCAAAATAGATTTATGGACATCCCCAAATTTGACATTCAGAACAAGCCTCCGTGCCACTGCCAGACACATTTAGTCAGAAAAATTTGTAGGTGCATGTGCATGTGCATGTGTGAAGTGAGCCCACACCACAAGGATAACGAAGAAAAAACTATAAATTCATTCAAATCCAATAGACAAGTTAAGAAGAAATGTGTTAGAAAAGAGGCCAAATACCTATTCTTGCTAGTCGATTTACCCATTTTGGGATATTGTTTCCCGTCAGCCTGTAGCATATATCCTCACAGAAATGGTTGCAATTCTTCACAACCAAGTGATATCTATCACCATGGTAGTTTGAAGACTGATGCTCCATGAATTCTCTAACCTGGATATGGTTCAAGTACGTTGTTCCCATGAATATTGACTTTCTAAACTTGAAGCCAGGGCATCGCCGAGGTTCAATCTCAAAGACACCACTTGTTGGATAGTCGTGTGCTCCAAAAGCGTATTCTACTCCGTGAACTGTAACCATGCACATATGGACAATTAGAAAATCTTTGCTTCTGTCTAGTGAATAATGATTTTATATAAACATTAAAAAACATAATGCAAACTTTCAATAACTCATTAGTTTTCCTTCCATAGAAGATGCATCAAGATAAAGAGAGCAATGTTCATGATCAAAGAAGATGAATCAAGATAACGAGAGTAAACTGACCTTCCACGCCTGTGTGGAAGACACCAAGGCCTGCCCAATAGAAATAACTATTGGCGGGTGTCAAGTCATAGACATTAAGATACACATGTGTGGTGGCTGGATCATAGTCTGCAGAATTCACCTTTGGAAACATGCAAAAATGGGATACAGATTTGCCTTGCAAAGGAAGAGGCATGATTGAACGCAAGCCCTTCTTTGATCCACGTTTCATGTCTAAGGGTGAAACCAGGAATCAGTCAATACCTAGTTCCAACCTGCATACAGAAACATAAACATCAACACTCTGTAAAAGGACCATGACAACAAACGGAAAAGGAAGCCTATAGTCGGCGACCTCGATATTACATCCTCTAACACCCTGTTTCAGGATCAACTCACCACCCAAAGGCGATACTACACAAATAGGAGATGTTAACTGTGCTAACTCCAATTCCAAAATCGATGCAAATGCAGCAGATACAAAAGAATGAGATGCACCCGTGTCTATTAACACACTAGCAACTGAGTTGCAAAACAGAAAAGTACCTCTCACTACTGATGGAGCCGGTACAAAATCCTGCGCGGTAACAGCATACACGTGTCCCGTAGGCCCCTGGTCTACCTGCTCACCTCTCGGAGCAAAAGACTGCTGCACAGATTGGGATGACGAAGCTCCCGGATTGGCCCTCGAGGCCTGCACAGACTGAGCTGGCTGAAAACCCTGCGTCTGCCTAGAACCAGACGCTCCCGAAGTGGCACTCAACTGCGGGCAAAACCTCTTCATGTGCCCAGGTTGTCCACACTGATAACAAGTCAAGAGCTGCCCCCTGCCCAAACTCTGACTCTGCGGTCTAGCTGAAGAAGAAGTAGCTTTCTGACCCCCACCCTTCTGCGGGCAAATAGAAACCTTGTGACCCAGCTGGCCACACTTGTAACAAGCAAACTCTCCCTGATTGCCTCTCACCGAGCCTGTACTCGGCACTGGAAAGGTCGATCTAGAAACTGCTCCCTGAAACTGCTGAGGGTTATAACCCCTCTGCTTCCTGCCATCACCCTGGCCATCCTGGCCCCTCTTGGAGCCCCTCTGTTCTTCCTCCTCTTCCTGCATCATAATTTCCATATGAGCAGCAGCATCTACCAGGTGTCTATACTCTCGAATATAAGACCCACCAACTCTCAACTTGAGGCCCCGCCTCAACTTCCGCTCAAACTCATAGCAACGGCGTTCCTCAGACGCCACCAGTTCAGGTGCAAACCTGGATAAACTGGTAAAAGTAGCCTCAAACTCGGCCACCGACAAGCCCTGCTGTTTAAGCCGACTAAACTGCTCCCTCAGCTTCTCCCTAGCTGATGCAGACAAAAACCTCTCCTGAAAAGCATTCACAAATGCCTCCCAAGTACCACCAACACGAGCCTTCTCGTACTTCCACCACTGACCCGCATCTCCCTTCAGTTGGAAAGATGCCAAGGTCACTTTCAGTGCTCCGTCCTCGATGCCAAGCATCTCGAACGTCTTACTCATTTGCTCTAGCCACTCATCAGCCTTCAGTGGCTCCTTCGGATCCCCGATAAACTCAACCGGATTAGACCGGAAAAACTCCCTCTTCAAGAAAAAAGGCCCTGCCTCAGCTGCCTGATTCCCTGCTCGAAGAATACCCAAAGCTCCTGCTATCTCTCTGGCCAAGGCACCTATAGCCTGCTGACCTGCTGGCTCGGCCACATTAGCCTGACCAACTCCCTCTTGCACTGTCGGAATCTCCTCCGGTAACGGTACCTCCTGCCTCGCAGGTCTACCACGCCTAGCACCTCTTCCTCGCCCTGACATCCTACTAAAGGTAACACAGAACATTAGCACATTCATAAATGTGCCGAAACTAAACACCCACGTCCTAATGCATGGACAACTGTAATTCACTCCACGTAAGCACATAAACACATAAGCACTTACGAATTTCATTTCCGGATAATGATAGTCCCGAGACGTTACTAGAGTTCCGGTTAGAAACAGCATTGATCAAGTGCCTTTCCAACAAGACTCACAGAAACCCAAGGATCCAATCAACATCCCAGAAATTAAATCCCATACCCACATAGTCACATAAGCATGTTATCAATCAAGTACATAGCATATGATACTACATCTAAGTCTCTATCAAGCGAGACAAACCCATTGTGATACTAATCACTTCCCACGTACCCAAAGTATTCGAACCCGATACGTTCTGATACCAAGTTGTAACGCCCTCAAAATAATAACATTAAACCCATCAAATAAGACATGCGTTGACATATAAAACTAACCACATTCTATATCCATCAGAGTCTATTACATATGCATTACATGTTAAATCAAAACAAAATGCCCTACGGGCTTACAGCTTTCCAAGTTAACACTTGGTTACAACAAAGAGTACTAACTCGTTACACATTAAGCCCTGGCTTGAAGTTACAGTAATACATCAAAATAAACGACAAAAACATGTCCGCCTCTAGCCTCCCAAGCTATGTCCTTGGAGGTGCATGCTTCCTGTACCTGAAAATGATGTTCCCATATAGGGTGAGCCACAGCCCAGTAGAAATACACTAAACCAACCATGGAAATGACTAAATATTAGCAATTGATAGATGGTCAACACTGTACATCACATAAATCACATATTTATGTCATACGACTTATAGAGTCCAAGTTACTTTCATTTTCCCTTTTCAACAGTAAGCATGTAGCTCATCATCATTTCAATAGATAATATAAAAACTATATCTCCATTACAGATAAGCAATAAGCTATATCCACTTCACAACAGATATGTATATCAACAATATCCACATTCAGATAAGCATATGAGCTGTATCCCACTCTCACAAAGATAAGCATATAAGCTCTATCTTCACTTCTTTAGACAAGCATATAGCTGTATCTACGAGTTCATCCCCTATCTCTCTCCCAACACTATCCGGTTTAGAGGTACATCCCCTATCTTCCCCTAAACCGCGGAGTACATCCCCTATCTCCTCCTCTACACATAACGATATACAAACACATTGGTTCTATATACAATCCTCACACATCACAATTAATGTATCTATCAACCGTCAAGATTCCATGACACATTCCATTGATTAGTTTCAGTTTACCTAATCATCCAGCATTGTCTACAACAATCACGACTATCCTCCACCGATAGCCCAAAGCAGTTATTTCTAAACAGAAAATAAATGCACAAATGGATATCAATCAACATTTCATTTCCTCATTTCTCCCAATTAATTATCCCAATTAATTAAACAATGTAATTAGGCTATTTTCCATAATTACCATTTCAACCCTTAAGTCCCATTTTCATCAATAATTCAACAATCAATCCATTTTCTCTATCCCACATGCATTAGGTTTATTATGAATAAAACCCCACTTTTGTAAAATTACACAAAAGCCCAAACTTTCACAAAATTACCAAACAAACCCAACATCTCAAAATACCAAAATTTAAAGACAAAACCCATAGAGAGGAGTAGGATCCCTACCTTCAAAGTTTAGCCAAAAAGGAGATGAAGCCGAAGATCAAACTGCTCCAAATCCAATTTTTCAGATTAAAACGAAGCTCTCAACACCCTCTATCTTTTAAACAAAGCCTAGGCTAGATTCACACTCTAGGAGATCAAAATCTTAGAGAGAGTGTAAGTTTAGAGTGAGAGGGTCTCGGATTTAGGTTAGAATGAAGAAAAGAAGTGAAAAGTGAGTTGTTTCAACGCTGCTGTCCGCTGATATAAAACACGCTCGCTCGAGCGAAGCCTTCGTCGCTCGAGCGACCAGACACAGAAACTCTCGCTCGAGCCAAGAAACACTCGCTCGAGCGAATAAAAAACCCAGACCGCTCGAGCGAAGGAAGCTCGCTCGAGCCAAGAAAGACAACTCTCAGGTCCGAACAGGTGCAACCGCTCGCTCGAGCGACCACTCTGGCTCGACCCACCAGACAAACTCACTCTCGCTCGTAGCGACCAACTCCTCGCTCGAGCGAAGGTCCAAAATCTGGGCAGCAACACTTGGTTTCCAAACCAACCAACCTGTAACAAACCTGCCCAACACATCCTATAACTCAAATATGAAGAAAAAGGAATGCAAACACGATTAATAACAACTACCAACATCCACGGACACATGTCCGGATCACTATACAACAAGGGTAAACCCGGGATCGCTATAACCTCCCCCCCTTAAAGAATTTCGACCCCGAAATTAAGCACAAGGTTTTTCAAAAACAAGTTTTCTTCTATTTAAACAATGTTACATTTTAACATTCAACAATTCGACCCATTACCGTCATCCCATCCTTAACAAGAACATTCACAATATGTAAACAACATATATACTTTCAAACAGCATCAACATTATGCAACTATCTTCCAATTTCAACAATATATCCAACATATATAGTGTTACATTTCAACTTCCATATGAGGCAAGTTCCTAAAACAGTACTTCAATAACCAAAACATTTTCAATGTTTCACAACTTAAGACTATTAAAAGCTCTCTTAAGTTCAACAAATGTAAAATTCTAAATACAAGATTACATATCAACAAACAAGTCCGATATTTCTCACGGACTTCCAACTCACGTTCCCAAGTGGCTTCCTCCACTTCGTGATTTTCCACAAGACTTTCACCAAAGAATGGTCTTGCCACGCAGGACCTGATCCCGCCTATCCAAGACCCAACCGGTCCTCCTCATACGAGGCATCCTCATCTACCTCTAACATCCAATCCAACAATGTGATGGATCTGGCTCATTACTTCCGAAGCATACTCACATGAAACACGTCATGCACTCCGGACAACTGCGGCGTAAGGCTAACCGATAAGCAACCTCCAATCCTTCCAAGGATCTCAAAAGGACCAATAAACGAGGGGATAACTTCCCACTCTTCCCAAACCTCATCAAGACCTCGCCGGTGATATCTTCAAAAAGACATGATCACCTACCTCAAACGCCAAAGGCCTCCTCCTACGGTCAGCATTAGATTTCTGCGACTCTGGGCTGTAACAAAGCCTCCTACGGATAAGCTCAACTTTCTCCGTCGTCTCCCTAACCAACTCCGGACCCAACAAAGGTGCATCACCCACCTCGGCCCAACAAACTGGAGACCTACACGGTCGGCCATACAAGCCTCAAACGGTGCCAATACTGTCTAGACTGAACCTGTTGTTGTAGGCAACTCTACCAATGGCAAGTGCCTCTCCCATCCCACTGAAGTCCAGGACACAACCCCGAAGCATATCCTCGAGGATCTGAATAGTACGCTCG